AAGAAGAGCGACGTCCTGCATGTGTTCGAGCAGTGGCTGCTGGTCGTGGAGAGGCAAACCAAGAAGTCGGTGATGATGCTCCGCTCCGACCGCGGAGGCGAGTTCCTGGGGAAGGACTTCACCAAGTTCGTCAACAGCAAGGGAATCGTCCATAACCTGACCTGCCCGTACACTCCGCAGCAGAACGGCATGGCGGAGAGGGAGATGCGTACGGTCGTCGAGGCTGTGCGAACGATGTTGTTGCATATGGGCGTGCAGCACCACTGGTGGCATCTCGCCCTGCGGCAGGCCGTCTGGGTTCGCAACTGCCTGGAGCGGTCGTCGCTGCCTTCGGGGACGACGCCACACCAGCTGCTGACAGGCAAGAAGCCTGATCTCACCCTGGCAAGGGTGTGGGGCTGCATGGTGCAGTTCATGGTCCCTGAGCAGCAGCGTGGTGGGAAGCTGGCGTCGAAGGCTCGTTGGGGGCTACACCTGGGTGTGTCACCGGAGAGCAAGGGATGGGAAGTGCTCGACCTGACTGACAACAAGCTTGTCACAACGGTCGAGGCTATCTTCTACGAGACGATGTCTCTGGAGGTGTGGAAGGTGACGCATGGGCCAGCGTCGGCACGAGCGCAGACCCACTCTCCGACTGACTCCTCGACGGCGACGTTCCCACTGCTCGCCGAGGTCGACGAGGCTGCTGACGAGGATGTCGAGGAGGTCCATCCTACTCCTCCTCCTCCTCCTGTCCCTACTGCACCCCCAGTTGTCGCCGACTTGCATGAGCAGACACCTTCGTCAGCCACTGGCGATGAGGGGAGCCTGCGGACGTTGCCTTTGGCCCCGTCCAGGGGCATCGCCAGCGGCCGACGTGATGTCAAACTTGTTGACGAGGGTGCAAAGTCGCCGACGACAGGGGAGCAGCGGGCGGAAGAGATGCCGCCGACAGGGGAGCCGTTGACAAAGGAAGCGTCTGTAGAGGAACCACTGACAGGGGAGCAGCTCGACGATGGTTCGTCGAGCGACGTTGTTGAGGTCATTGGTGACCCCGACGACGATGAAGGGGAGCTGTCTGCAGGGGAGCAGTCCACTGACAGCGATGTGGTGGAAGTCGAAGCTGACAAGCCTCCGCTGCAACGTTCCATACGTGTCAACTTTGGCAAGCCTCGCGAGAAGCTGAGCTACCATGCTTGCTTGCCCCCTACCTCCTACAGCACGTTGCTTGATGATGCCCAGGACGACGTCGATCTGCCCGAGCTCGACCCTGACGTGCACGCTGACCCAGAGCATCGCTGGGACATCGCGACGATGACAGTGAAGGAGGCCCTGGCGAGCTGGAAAGGCCAGGCAGTGAAGGCGGCGATGGACGAGGAGATTCGCAGCCTCATTGCCAACGGCACATGGGAGCTGGTCGAACGTCCGCGCGGGGTGAACATCATGAAGAACCGGTGGGTGCTGACGACGAAGTACCACATCGATGATACGGTCGCTCGTGAGAAGGCACGTTTGGTCATCAAGGGCTTCACGCAGGTGTATGGCGCCGACTACGAAGAGACGTACGCACCGGTTAGCAGCTACGTCACGCTGAGGATCTTCCTCAGCATCGTCGCTGTCCAGGACTTGCACCTGATGCAGCTTGACATGAAGAATGCGTTCCTGCAGAGTAAGCTGGACAGGGTGCTGTACATGTACCAACCAGACTACTATGACGATGGAACTGGCAGGGTGTGCAAGCTGTTGAAAAGCCTCTACGGACTGAAGCAGTCACCACTGCTGTGGTACAGGGCCCTCGACGGAGTGCTGCTGGGCGCTGGCTGGAAGAAGAGCCAGGTCGACGAGGCTCTCTACTTCAAGGAAGCTGACGGAGGAGTGATGTGCTGGGTGCTCGTCTACGTCGACGACCTCCTCGCCGCCAGCAGCAGCCTCGCGATGCTGAAGGAGCTGAAGGAGCTGCTGGAGGCTGCCTTTGAGCTGCGCGAGATCAGCCCGGTCGAGAGGTACCTTGGGCTGGAAATCGTTCGCGACAGGTCGGCAAGGAAGCTGTGGCTGCACCAGCAGTCGTACGTCGACAAGCTGCGCAGGCGCTTCATCGACGAGGAGCAGACCGGGCGCATCCCAAAGACGCCAGTCTCCGTCGACGCCTATGCGGAGCTTACATTCGATGATGAAGATGCTCAGGCGCGCGAGGAGGAGGAGTACAGGCAGAAGGTCGGCTCGCTGCAGTTCGCGGCGACGACGACGAGGCCGGACATCGCGTTCGCGTGCAGCAAGCTGGGGAGCGGCCTGACAGTGCGGAGTGACAACCACTGGCGCGAGGTCGATCGCTGCCTGCACTACCTCGCCGACACCCGTGACACCGCTTTGGAGTTTGGTGGTGGACCAGATTCGCTGTGCCTGATCGGCTATGTGGACGCAGACGATGCAGGCGACAAGCAGAACCGGACGAGCACAGGTGGCTATGCGTTCGTCTTCGGAGGGGCCGCAGTTTCCTGGTCGAGCCAGCGCATCAAGTGTGCGACGCTCTCCTCGACCGAGTCAGAGTACGTCGCGGCCACGGAAGCTGGCAAAGAGGCTCGTCGACTCCGCTTCCTCCTTGCAGAGTTCAAACTGCTAGACCCTGGGACGCCGACTGTCCTTCGTGTGGACTGTCAAACTGTATTATGCTTGTAGGCTGTAGTGGGGTAGCCAATATGGGGTACAACCCCAACTAGGGTTTCATATTTGTACCCAAACTTCTGTTAGTTGATTCATTCTTGCCTAGTGATTATGAGATGGTATTCAGAGCAGGAGGTCCCTAGGACCTACCGACCGTTTTTTTTAAGGGCCCACCACCGCTCGCATGCGGTTACCACGCTACCCCGTGCCCTAGCCTCGTAGCGCCCTCGTGCGCCCACGTTAGCGCCCTCGCGCGCCCCTCGTTAGCGCCCTCGCGCGCACCCTCGTTAGCGCCCTCGCGCGCCCCCTTTCGTTAGCGCCCTCGCGCGCCCCTTCGTTAGCGCCCTCGCGCGCCCCTTGCTAGCGCCCTCGCGCGCCCCTCACTAGCGCCCTCGCGCGCCCCTCGCCGAGCCGCCCGCTCGCAGCCCGCCCGCCCGCTCGCTGCCCGCTTCGCGGCCCGCTCACTACGCAGCCCGCCCGCCCGCTCGCTGCCCGCTTCGCGGCCCGCCCGCTTCGCAGCCCGCTCGCTCGCTGCCCGCTTCGCGGCCCGCCCGCTTCGCAGCCCGCTCGCTCGCTGCCCGCTTCGCGGCCCGCCCACTTCGCAGCCCGCCCGCCCGCTCGCTGCCCGCTTCGCGGCCCGCTCGCTACGCAGCCCGCCCGCCCGCTGCCCGCTTCGCGGCCCGCCCACTTCGCAGCCCGCCCGCCCGCTCGCTGCCCGCTTCGCGGCCCGCTCGCTACGCAGCCCGCCCGCCCGCTGCCCGCTTCGCGGCCCGCCCACTTCGCAGCCCGCCCGCCCGCTAGCTGCCCACTTCGCGGCCCGCCCGCATCGCAGCCCGCTCGCCCCGCTGCCCGCTTCGCAGCGTCGCCCGCCCGCCGTGCTGCCCGCTTGCAGCGCCGCCTGCCCGCCGCGCTGCCCGCTTCCCGGCCCGTCCGCCGCGCTGCCCGCTCGCAGCGTCGCCCTCCCGTCGCGCTGACCGCTTGCAGCGCCGCCTGCCCGTAGCGCCAGCCTCGCCCGCTGCTCTCTATCCGTGCACAGTCGCCTTCCCCTGCTGCGGCAGCTTGCGTTACTCTGTCACACTGTCGCTATGGCTTCCATCCGCGTGCTGTCGTTCGATGCTGAGGGCCGCCCTGTGCGGTTCACCGCTTGGCTAGATGACCTGCAGCTGTTCCTCCTGAGCGATAGCAAGGAGCATGTGTCGCTCTATGATTACGCGTCTGGTGCTGCGCCTGCCCCTCCTGCCACAGCTGAGCTTAGTGTTCGTTCCCACTGGCAGACTCGTGACGCAGCTGCTCGCCTAGCCATTCGCAGTCACCTGCCGTTAGCTGAGCTAGAGCATTTTGGCGACTGCAAATCCGCTAAGGCCCTGTACGACGCTGTCGTCGCTCGCTACTCCTCGCCTGCCACAGCCGAGCTTAGCCGCCTCATGCTGCCGTACCTGTTCCCCGATCTGTCCACCTTTACTACAGTCGCCGATCTTATCACCCACCTTCGCACTAGTGATGCTCGCCTGCGTGCTGCCCTTCCCACCGAGTTCTGCGCTAAGAACCCCCCTCCACTGTACTGGACACTCCACTTCATAGTCACCCGACTCCCTGACACCCTCAGCTCAGTTCGAGACCACTTCCTTGCTCGCTGTCCCACTGAGCTCACAGTCGCCCTCCTAGAGGAGCAGCTGCTAGCGGCCGAAAAGAGCATTGTAGCTGTCGGTGCTGCTCGTGGCGCTCCTCGCACCCCCATCTTTGAGGGGTGTTCTCCCTCTCCCCTCGCTCCCTCCTACACTACTGCTGCTGCTGTTGACTTCCTTGGTGCTGAGTCTGCTGGCGCTGCTTCTGCTCCTGGTGGGAGGCGCCGCACCGGCAAGGGCAAGGGGGGCAAGGGTGGCGGGGGTGGCGCTGGGGGGGGAGGAGGTGGGGGAGGTGGGGGGGGAGGCGGTGCTGGAGGGAGCGGTGGCGGGAGTGCTGGTGGGAGTGGGGTCGGCAGCGGAGGCGGGGGCGGCGGAGGGAGCAGTGGCGGTGGTGGCGGCGGCGGCGGTGGCGGCGGCGGCGGCGGTGGCGGCGGCGGCGGTGGCGGTCGGAGCGGAGGTAGTGGTGGTGGCGGAGGTCGGAGTGGAGGCACTGGCTCGGGCCAGAGCTCCCAGCAGCAGCAGCGTCCCCAGACGACCCAGCAGCTTCGTGAGTGGCTTGCTCAGCGTGGGACGTCGGGGGCCAGTGCACGCTGTTCTTATGTCATTCGCACAGGTGACCGCAAGGGACAGACGTGTGGGAGGTTCCACACCCCGTACCGCTGTTTCTCCCGCCTTGACGACGCTTGGCGTGAGGAGATGGGTGCGGATGTTGAGCGCCCCCGCTGGGCTGAGCTCATGAGGGCTGGTGTTGATGTCTTTGCTCTTGACTATGATGCTATTATTGCTGCCATGTATGCATTGACTGTTAGTGCCGAGGGAGACTGTTACTTGTGTGTGCCGCCTGACCCAGGTATAGAGCCCGCTGCCCTGGGTACTAGTGAGTCTGCTCTCTCTGGTATGGTGCCCCCTGTACTTGCTCCCCCCAGTGCTGTCCCGGCTAGTTTCGAGTCTGCTCTCTCAGGTGCTTCCCGTTGCTTCTTTCGTGACAGTACTGAGCTCACACCGCTTCCTGCACCGGTCCCAGTCTCCTTGGCTGACCCCTCTGGGGGCCCAGTCCTTGCCCAGTCCACCACTGTCCTCCCTTGTCCGGCGGTTCCGTCTGGCTCGTTGTCGGGTTTCCACCTCCCCTCGTTCTCGACGAACCTGGTGAGCAACGCTGTCCTCCAGGATCAGTGGGTTGACACCTTTACCCCTGGCGGACAGCGTGTGGCGATCTGCACGTGCTCCAGGACCGGCCGTCACCTGGCTACGTTTACCCGTCGGCCGGGGTCGAGTCTCTACACACTGACCACTGCGTCTCCCCAGGTAGCTGCTGTCGGTCAGGTGTCTGCGTCAGGTCTGGTGGCCCACGCCTGTGAGTGTCGTTCCCTGTCGCACCAGACTCTTCTCTGGCACCACCGCCTGGGTCACCCCTCCTTGCCACGCCTTCGTGGCATGCACCGTCGCCTCCTTGTGTCCGGTCTTCCCAGGTCCCTCCCTCCCCTCCCTGCCTCGCCTGCGCCGCCTTGCCTTCCTTGCGTCGAGGGGCGGCAGCGCGCCGCTCCTCACTCCTCCTCGTTCCCCCCGACAGAGGCTCCTCTGGAGACCCTCCACCTGGACGTGTGGGGCCCAGCCCGCGTTCGTGGTCAGGGCGGTGAGCGGTACTTTTTGCTGGTTGTCGACGACTACTCGCGTTACACCACGGTCTTCCCCTTGCGCACCAAGGGTGAGGTCCCTGCTGTTCTGATCCCTTGGATCCGCACCGTTCGTCTCCAGCTCCGCCGCCGTTTCCGGACGGATCTTCCTGTCCTGCGTCTGCACTCTGACAGAGGTGGTGAGTTTTCCTCCGATCTCTTGAGGACCTTCTGTCAGGCGGAGGGCATCGAGCAGACCTTCACGCTTCCGGACTCCCCACAGCAGAATGGGGTTGCTGAGCGCCGCATTGGCCTGGTCATGGAGGTCGCTCGTACCTCCTTGGTCCACGCGGCGGCTCCCCATTTTCTGTGGCCGTTTGCTGTCCGGTACGCCGCGCATCAGCTCAACCTCTGGCCCCGTGTCTCCTTACCGGAGACCTCGCCCACACTGCGTTGGACGGGGGAGGTTGGCGATGCGTCGCGCTTCCGGGTGTGGGGTGCTCGTGCCCTTGTCCACGATACGTCCGCGGACAAGCTCTCCTCCCGCACGCTTCCCTGTGTCTTCCTTGGCTTTGTCCCTGACGCGCCTGGCTGGCAGTTTTACCACCCCACCTCGCGCCGGGTCTTCGCCTCTCAGGATGTCACCTTTGACGAGTCGGTCCCTTTTTACCGTCTCTTCCCCTACCGCACTGCCCCCCTCCCTCCCCCGCCGCTTTTCCTTGCTCCTGGTCCCCCTCCGGTAGACCCCCTTCCCCCTCAGGGTCCTGCTCCTTCAGGTGTCTCTCAGGTAGACCCTCCTCCCGTCGCTGAGCCTGTCGAGGTCACAGGTGACTCAGGTGCTGCTGCGGGTGGTGCTGCTGGGAGTGCTGAGCCTGGGGGTGCTGAGCCTGGGGGTGCTGGGCCTGGGGGTGCTGGGGCTGCAGGTGCTGGGACTGAGGGTGCTGGAGCTGAGGGTACGGTGCCTGAGAGTACGGAGCCTGGGGGTGCTGCGCCTGGGGGTGCTGAGCCTGGGGGTGCTGCGACTGGGGGTGCTGAGCCTGCGGGTACTGAGCCTGCGGGTACTGAGCCTGGGGGTGCTGCTACTGAGCCTACGGAGCCTCGGGTTACTGCGTCTGGGGGTGCTCCGGTTCGGGGTGCTGAGCAGTCTCTCACACCGCAGCAGCTTCGTGACTGGTACGTCCGACGCTTTCGCCGTCCTAGTGGCTCGGCTGGAGTTTGGGGTGCTGGAGCTGCTCGTCCTGGGGGTGCTCGTACTGGGGGTACTGGAGCTGCCGGGACTGGCTGTTCTGGGAGCACTGCGACTGGAGCTGCTGGAGCTGGGGACTCTGGCGCTGGCGGTGCTAGCGGAGTTGGAGCTGCCGACTCTGGGGGTGGCGCTGCTGCTGGTGCTGCGGACCCACCTGGTGGAGCTGCTGCTGGTGCTGAGGAGTCGGACGGTGGAGCTGCTGCTGGTGCTGTGGACCCGGACGCTGGAGCTCCTACTGGTGCTGAGGACCCGGCCGCTGGAGTCCCTTCTGCTTCTGGAGACGCTGCGCGGCCGCGACCGTACTTCGTACCGCTCCTTCAGCAGGTTCTTGGGCAGGCTCCTCCTCCTTGTCTTCCTCCCTCCGTAGAGTGTCCTCCGCCTGTCCAGCCGCAGTCACAGTTACCGCCTGCCTCGCCTCTCCCTGCTCCCTCTCCTTATACTGGTCCCACAGGAGGTCTTACAGAGCGTCGTGAGCCTGAGTCTCGTCCTGCGTCGCCTGTTCGTCGTGCTCGCACTGGTAGTCGTGTCCGTCGTGAGCGTCCTCCTCCTGTCCCAGGCACTCACTACATGACTCTGCGTCCCTCTACTGCTCCTCGGCGTGTCCCTCTACCGTCTCCTCCTGCGTCCTCTTTGCCTGCCGTTCCGGACCCTGAGTCTGACCGGTATCGCGCTGAGCACCCTACAGTCACGCGTCTCCTCGCTACTGTTGTCACTGACCCTACCTTTGAGTCCTCGGCTGCGTCTGCTCTGGTCGCTGAGTTGGTTGACTTTGCTGCTGCCTGTCGTCTAGACTACGCTGCTAGCCTTGTTGCTGAGCCTGCGTCTGCGTCTGTCTGTCCTCCGTCCGTCGGGGGTGAGTGTGCTCTTGGCACGGACGTCCTTGAGGACAGGCAGGAGGACTTTGACTCTCTTGCGGCTGCTGTACCTCATCTCGTGGCCTGGTTGCTTGCCCCTGAGGGAGACCCGGATGCGCTAGACATCCCCACTCCGCGCACTTACGCAGAGGCGATCTCGGGTCCCTACTCCTCTCAGTGGCAGACAGCCATGGACGCAGAGATGGCATCCTGGAAGTCCACAGGCACCTACGTCGACGAGGTTCCCCCTCCTGGGGCGAACATCGTCGATGGCATGTGGATTTTCAGGGTGAAGCGGCCGCCAGGTTCTCCGCCTGTCTTCAAGGCTCGTTACGTTGCTAGAGGCTTCAGTCAGCGTCAGGGGGTCGACTTCTTCCAGACCTTCTCCCCCACCCCGAAGATGACCACTCTTCGGGTTCTGCTGCACGTTGCTGCTCAGCGTGACTACGAGCTTCACTCTCTTGACTTCAGCATAGCGTTCCTGCAGGGCAGCCTGCACGAGGAGATCTGGCTGCGCCGCCCACCTGGCTTTACTGGGTCGTTTCCCCCTGGTACCCAGTGGAGTCTCCGCCGGCCAGTCTACGGTCTCCGCCAGGCGCCACGTGAGTGGCACGACACACTGAGGACTACTCTTGCGGCTCTTGGGTTCGCGCCGTCTACTGCTGACCCGTCGCTGTTTCTGCGCACAGACACGTCGCTGCCGCCGTTCTACATTCTCGTGTACGTCGACGACTTGGTCTTTGCTACTGCTGACACTGAGGCACTCGCTCGTGTGAAGTCGGAGCTGCAGAAGAGACACACCTGCACTGACCTGGGTGAACTGCGTAGCTACCTTGGCTTGCAGATCACCCGGGACAGAGCTCGCCGCACCATCACCCTGACTCAGTCACACATGGTGCAGCAGGTCCTTCAGCGCTTCGGCTTCCAGTTCTCCTCACCACAGGCCACACCTCTGGCTACCAGCCACTCGCTCTCAGCTCCACCTTCGGACGAGTCCGTAGAGCCGAGTGGCCCGTACCCAGAGCTTGTAGGCTGCCTCATGTACCTGATGACTTGCACGCGACCTGACCTCGCGTACCCTCTTAGCATCCTTGCTCGTTACGTTGCGCCTGGGAGACACAGGCGAGAGCACTGGGAGGCTGCTAAGAGGGTGCTGCGTTACCTGTGCAGTACATCAGGCATGGGGCTGGTGCTTGGAGGACGCGACAGAGTTGTCCTCACTGGTCACTCGGACGCCTCTTGGGTGGACGACCTGGCTACGCAGCGGTCGTCACAGGGTTACACCTTCAGCCTTGGCTCTGGTTCTGTCTCGTGGCGGTCCACCCGCTCTTCCTCTGTTCTCGGCTCTAGTTGTGAGGCTGAGATCTACGCCACAGCCATGGCTGCACAGGAGTTACGCTGGCTCACCTACCTGCTGACTGACTTGGGAGAGCGGCCTAGTTCTCCTCCAGTTCTGTACGGTGACAACAAGGCGGCTCTTGCCTTGTGTCAGGAGCACAGACTGGAGCACAGGACGAAGCACATTGCTCTTCGCTACTTTCTTGCTCGAGAGCTTCAGCAGCGCGGTCAGCTTCGGCTTGTGTACGTGGACTCGAAGGCCAATACTGCTGATATCTTCACCAAGGCGCTCCCGCCTAGTGATCATCAGCGGCACTGTACTTCTTTAGGCCTTGTGTCCACGTTTCCTCACTTGCTCACTGCTTGACATTCTTTGTACTGTACTTTATATATATCTTGTTGCTTGCTTGCTAGGTTTTGATCACTGTGTTGCTTGTCTTGTACTATATCTAGCACTGCATGTGAACTGGCCTTGTGGCCTTTTACTTGTGCTCGGAGTGTGGTGACGTTGTGATCCACCCTGGGCTTTGTTTTGCTTTGCTGGACTGGTCTTGTGACCCTTTGTTCTCCCCCACTTTGCCTATGGGGGTGTGTTAAACTGTATTATGCTTGTAGGCTGTAGTGGGGTAGCCAATATGGGGTACAACCCCAACTAGGGTTTCATATTTGTACCCAAACTTCTGTTAGTTGATTCATTCTTGCCTAGTGATTATGAGATGGACAACCAGTCGGCCATCACTGTCGCGGAAGGCTTGGGGCTGAAGGGCAACCTCAAGCATATGGAGCGACGCTATGCTTGGCTACAGCAGATGGTCAAGCGTGGGAAGATTGCGCTGAAGTACATTCCCACCTCTGAGCAGCCAGCTGACTTCCTGACGAAGGGGCTGCACTTTCCGGCCTTCAACCGGTGCTCCGTCGCGATCGGCCAAGTTCGTCTGGCAGACGTTGGCGACGGTGACGATGATGTGCAGCAGTAGGTGCCGTGCCCTTCTGCACGGCTGGTGCGGTGATCGACGTGCTGTGTGTTGTGTGCACGCCGAAGCATTTTTCCCGTGTATTATAGCCCTTGGGTTCTGGGTGGACCTGGTGTGTGGGGTGCCCAAGCGTGAGCGCGGCAGGGGAGTGTTGAAGGAAATTGGCCCCGCCCTCGCATGGGCAAATTGACTTGTGGTCGGGTGTGTGGGAGGTGCAGCCGACCTTCCGCAGAGGTCGACGAAGGTGGTCGTCGACCTGCGCGGAACCACTGTGACTTCGTCGACAAATGAGTTCACGAAGGAGTTCAACGAGGATGGTCGACGAAGCAGTTCGTCGACCAGAGTGGCGCAGCTGGTGCAGAAGTTCGCGGGTGTCCGTCTGCGCAGGGTCGCGTTTTGCCCCTGCGCAACATTGAGACTGCACAGGCGAATTTTGGCCAGAAATTCGAATGTGCCCTAATTTCGACCAATCAGGAGCTGACATTTTGAAATGTCGACCGAGGTGCTCAACGAAGGTGCTCGACGAAGGTCGTCGAGCCCCGACGACGAAGGTCGTCATCCTGCAGAGATGTCATCCTCCAGGTACCTTACCTGGTTGACCAAGTTACCTGCTCGACGAGGTGCGCGAAGGTGTGCGAACGTCGTCGAGGCTGCTGTGGCGAAGTCGACCGACGTGGCAGCACGTGGTCGACGTGGCTCATCATGTGCAACCGTCAGCATGTGGCTGACAACCTGCGCAATGTACTTGACAGTGCACGTTGTGCATAACTGTCTACAAGCACCTGCGAAGTAGGTGCTTGCACATGCGCTTACAATCACCTGCGGATGCAATGTTGGCAAGCCGCGCGGATGCTGCGTTGGCAAGCCGCGCGGGAGCAGCGTTGGCAGACCGCCATCTGCAGCGTTGGCAAGTCGCGTACGAGCTGCGTTGGCGGATCGCGGACTTGCTTCGTTGGCAGGTCGACGACTTTGTCGTGCTGGCAGTCGACCTGCCTGAGTGCTAGCAAACCTTGCATGTGATGTAGTCAGTCTTTGCCATTGCATGTTCATTCTGAACTCTGTTATTCTCAATTTTCATTAGTGAAACTCTTGTTGTTTTGCCCTGTGAAAACACAAGTCCTAGAGAACACAGACAGAGCTACGATCACTCCTACAACTCGTGCCTACCTAGTAGTCTAGCTCCCACCGTTGTAGAGTTTATCTCCTCAGTTCTTACTCTGCTGTATACAGCTGTGGAACCCGGAGAGGTGTTGTCCCATTTTAGAATGCGCTCGGGTCGTCCATCTACGCGTAGCGCGAGTGCGTGAAAAGTTCTGCCGTCCTGGGTCTGTGTGCGAGTGGCATATGTGTGGGGTGTGTGTGAAATCTTGTGTGCGTGCGCTTGTGTGCGCACGCGTGCGTGCGAGCGTGCGTGCGTGCGCGTGCGCGTACGCGTGCGTGCATGCGCGAGCATGCGCGAGCGTGCGCGAGCGTGCGCGTGCGTGCGTGAGAGCAAGCGTGCATGCTTGCGTGCGTGCGCGTGCGTGCGTGCGTGCGGGTGTGCACCTGTATGTATTCTTATCCTTCTCACCCCTTCCCTCTCTCCCCTTCCCTCTCTCCCCTTCCCTCCCTCCCCTTCCCATCCACGCCATCAGCAGCTCGCTTCTCTCCCACCTCTCGCCCTCCCTTTCCCCGTCAATGAGGCCATCGCAAAACTAGGTTTTCTCGCTTTCGTATCGGAAACCAGTTGCAATCGACTGGTTGGGTAAAACCAGTCGTTTCGGCTTGCAAACCATTGGCTTTGGCCAATGGTTGGCGCTTAGGATGCTTTAGGGGTGTATCGCTGTCGTGTTGCCCAGCTCGAGTCCGAGAAGTCGCACCTGATTTCGAGGCATGGGTGGTGAGCTGTAGGTTTGGCACAGGTTTGGATTTAGCTCTGAAGATTTTGGTCAATCGGGAAGCTCCACGCCTGCACAGTCTGGTTGGTCGACATTTTGCCTCTGCCGTCGATGGTTTGAGAGTCCATTGTCTTGTATAATGGTTCCGGAAGTGTGATTATCGTGTTAGTTGATGTAAATTTATGTAACTACAAACATGTAATTTGATATCTGAAAATAATGCTGTATTTTGGCGTATTTTACTTATGCTAGTATTTAGCATAACCATAGCACGTACTTGTTAACACACAATGCTGACATAGAATGGCGTATGAATTGCCTCAGAATTAGGTGAATTTAATGTTGTGGTGGAATTAGAATCACACACCTGCTACACTTTGTAACGAAATCTTTCATAATTTATGCGAAATGGTACAGTTAAGGTTACCTTCATATATATACTCCATAACACAGAAATCGCAAGGGCATTGCCTTTTCAACGGTTGTTGGGAGTATTGTTGAATCTGTATGAAAAATTCACCATACAGATTGGCAACGTTGCACATAAGGTTCATCCTGGCCGTTCAATCCAATCTGCACATTATCGCCCAGTCAACCTGCGAGGAGCCCATCCACAGATAGATCGAGCGTGGGCCCTCGCAGGGACAGATCGTTCAAGGTTCGGGTCTGTCCAGGTGGACACAGGATGGATGAATTTGGAGGTTGCAGGCGAATCAATATTTGCCAGCGCGAAACATTCCAGGTAAGTGTAACATCAGAAATTCGCACAACAGAAATGCTGGCGCGTCAGATGATTGCGCGCCAGATTTATTTTCGCTTGGTAACCAGTCGACAGTGCCTGCTGCGTGAGCCTGGCACAGACCTGGGAGTCAAGTGGTCCCAGCCGAGCTGGGGCCTGGGCCCAAGGATCAGCCACGTTATTTCGCAGCAGTCGGGCCCAGCCCTTGGTTCGTTGTTTCGCCAGCGTGTCCTGCGTGGAGGTGCAAAACCACTTGTCTAGGTGCTTGCGTGGAGGTTTCTTCGACGCGTGGCAAAAAATCGCCGCGATTGTTTTTGAGCCAATAGAAACAAGCCTGCTACCCTGGGTTGACCTGCACCGTTGGGAACCAATCGAAATTCCCTCCATCATACAGAACTAAAACGTGTATGCGTCATGAAATGAAAGGTGAAGTGCGGTTGTGCGAGGTCAAACGCATCTACACAACTGTTTTAAACATTCTGGTTGGGTGTGTAACACACATGTATTGACACCTCCTCCTTCAGAGGTCCCTTTCAACTATCTCCTCCCCCTCCCCCCAATCAGTTCCGTTCGGGGGGGTAGTCTTTGAGTCAACATCATTTCTCATTTGTTTCTCTCATATTGTGTTTTTTTTTTTTCACCTCCATTAATTCCAGAAGCTCCAGCGCCTAGCCTACGTCCCTGCCACCTCAAGCTTCTGTCTGATTCGAATAGGCACATTGAGGCTATTGATAAAGCACCGTGAGACCCATCTGAGTCCGTGACTGTGACAAATGTAGGTGAATTTATTCTTGTGTAGGCAGGTGCACTTTCATTTCGCTACCACATCAACGTTTTTTAAAATTTCTATATGAATGTCACTTACCTTTGTTCCCGCTGAGTCGATCATTCTGACAATGTGTTGTTGGCGGATTTTTGTTGAACTGACGTCAGTCGTTTTGTTCAACAACGAATTTCTATGATGTTTCTGCTCATTCCTCCCTTATCATCTTTCCAAGGTTTGGCAGGCAAGCGTGATTCCTTGTGGTCTGCTGATCTCCATTCACGCCTTTAGACTTAAGCTCTTGGTAAGCATTTTACATCATGCTGCACAACATTGTCTATCGATTTAGCGTATGTGTTCGTTTGAGTCTTGTGTTATGTCCAATTGTGCTGCATTTTTATTGTTTAGGTAGAAGTGGTTGGCTGGTTTAACCTGTGCTGGGTTTTCGTTTTTCTGATCCTGCAGGAATTCACAAGGCCGCTGTTCTACCCTTCGGCCCAGACAGTTCCTGGTTGTAAAGGCTGTAGATATAGTAGCACTGAACAGCTTGGAGTGGGTGTTTGTGTACTTCAATGTAAAACAGCGCATTATTGAGCTACAGTTGGATACCTGCAACCTTTCTTTCTGCAACATGTCTCATCAGTTGAGGCCTTTCAAGTGTGGCTACCCTGGATGTATAGCGACGTTCTCTTTTGCACATGAGAAAGCACGTCATGTCAAGGCGGGAAAGCACAAATTACCACCAGCAAAGGCAGCATCTGAGGGATTGCGAGATGACAGCAGCCAGGGAGGAGCTGTAGGAAGTCTTCAAGCAGCTGCAGACCGCATTCTCTCGAAATCCAGCAAACGCCCACGAGGTCAAACACAACCAGGGCCGAGCCGTTTGGATCCCCAACCGGACGCGGCTGAGTTGAATGAGGATGCGACGGGCTACTTGTTTGCCCCTGAGTGCGATGCAACTGCAGTTGATATTGATGCTCGGGTGTACCGATTGGTTCGCAGCTGGTGGTTCTG